CTCCACCAGCACAACCATCACCAACACTGTATCTAACAGAGCTCTTCACCAACATAGCCATCACCAACATTGCATCTAACAGAGTTCCCCACCAACATAGCCATCACCAACACATCTAACAGAGCTCTTCACCAACATAGCCATTACCAACACTGCATCTTACAGAGCTCTCTACGAACACAGCACCTAAAAGAGCTCTCCACCAACGCAGCTTCTAAACAGAGCTCTCCACCAACAAAGCCATCACCAACACTACATCTAACAGAGCTCTCCACCAACAAAGTCATCACCAACACTACGTCTAACAGAGCTCTCCACCAACAAAGCCATCACCAACACTACATCTAACAGAGCTCTCCACCAACAAAGTCATCACCAACACTACATCTAACATAGCTCTCCACCAACAAAGTCATCACCAACACTACATCTAACAGAGCTCTCCACCAACAAAGTCATCACCAACACTACATCTAACAGAGCTCTCCACCAACAAAGTCATCACCAACACTACATCTAACAGAGCTCTCCACCAACAAAGTCATCACCAACACTACATCTAACAGAGCTCTCCACCAACAAAGTCATCACCAACACTACATCTAACAGAGCTCTCCACCAACAAAGTCATCACCAACACTACATCTAACAGAGCTCTCCACCAACAAAGTCATCACCAACACTACATCTAACAGAGCTCTCCACCAACAAAGTCATCACCAACACTACATCTAACAGAGCTCTCCACCAACAAAGTCATCACCAACACTACATCTAACAGAGCTCTCCGCCAACAAAGTCATCACCAACACTACATCTAACAGAGCTCTCCGCCAACAAAGTCATCACCAACACTACATCTAACAGAGCTCTCCACCAAAAAAGCCATCACCAACACTACATCTAACAGAGCTCTCCACCAACAAAGCCATCACCAACACTACATCTAACAGAGCTCTCCACCAACACAGCTTCTAAACAGAGCTCTCCACCAACAAAGCCATCACCAACACTACATCTAACAGAGCTCTCCACCAACAAAGTCATCACCAGCACTACATCTAACAGAGCTCTCCGCCAACAAAGCCATCACCAGCACTACATCTAACAGAGCTCTCCACCAACAAAGTCATCACCAACACTACATCTAACAGAGCTCTCCACCAACAAAGCCATCACCAACACTACGTCTAACAGAGCTCTCCAACAGATACTCACCAATAGATAACCGAAGCTTAAAAGATTTCTTGACCAATAATTACCATAGAAAGCTTAAATACGTCAGGGTTATGGAGAAATTTGCAAATCTTAATAATGGTGTATCATTAGTCTAAAATGAGCTGGTTGCGCTTAAACTGTCCAGTGAAGTTGTAAAGAAAGCAAAACTCGTCTCGTTTAGATTTTTCGCATCTTATTTGCATTTTATGCATCTTATTTGCATTTTATGCATCTTATTTGCATTTTTTTGCATCTTATTTGCATTTTTTGCATCTTATTTGCATTTTCGCATCTTATTTGCATTTTTTGCATCTTATTTGCATTTTTCGCATCTTATTTGCATTTTTCGCATCTTATTTGCATTTTTTGCATCTTATTTGCATTTTTTGCATCTTATTTGCATTTTCGCATCTTATTTGCATTTTTCGCATCTTATTTGCATTTTTCGCATCTTATTTGCATTTTTCGCATCTTATTTGCATTTTGCGCATCTTATTTGAGTTTTCTCGCATCTTATTTGCATTTTGCGCATCTTATTTGAGTTTTCTCGCATCTTATTTGCATTTTGCGCATCTTATTTGCATTTTCGCATCTTATTTGCATTTTTTGCGTCTTATTTGCATTTTTTGCATCTTATTTGCATTTTTTGCATCTTATTTGCATTTTTCGCATCTTATTTGCATTTTTCGCATCTTATTTGCATTTTTCGCATCTTATTTGCATTTTTCGCATCTTATTTGCATTTTGCGCATCTTATTTGCATTTTTCGCATCTTATTTGCATTTTGCGCATCTTATTTGCATTTTGCGCATCTTATTTGCATTTTTCGCATCTTATTTGCATTTTGCGCATCTTATTTGAGTTTTCTCGCATCTTATTTGCATTTTTGTAAAAAAGTTACATGAGGGTTGAATTGGGCGAAACGTGTTTATGGTGATGAAGGTGGAAACATAGTGGACGTAGTGGTGGCCAGGTTAGTGTATATAAGAACATATATAAGAACGTATATATAACTCTGCAGCAGGCTTACTGGCCCATAATAGGCAGGTTCTCAAACCCAAACCCACTAAACAAAAACATTTGCCCAACCCATTTTGAATGCTACTCCAAGTGAAAGAAGAGAAGGCAGAGTGAACAAGAGGATAAACACACACTCTGGCACTATATTCCAGAGTGCAGCAGAGTGCAGAAAGAGTTTATCTTGACGACTAAAACCTGTATGCTACACCTGGGCATCGTTATGGACGTGACGTTCTGCCTGCGCATCAGGATTTTCGAAACTGATGTAAAGACGGCATATATTCTGGAGACAGTGGAACACATGGAGAGGTAATCGAGTCTCCACTCGGCATTTTGCGCTTTTAATGTGACATTCACCTAGTAACACTAACATTCATACACATTCTAAGCTTGTTATAACAAAGTTCCTAACTCGTCAAGCGAGGTGCTAAGCTGGTCACCATGTCAATAAAAGTATGCAGGATTTGTGGGAATTAGTGATAATGTGTAAAGTTAGTTACACCTAAATGATCCAACAGCTGAGTAAATGTACTCATATGATAAGTTATTTCTTACATATTAACGTATCTTTTATACTGAGTTATTGAACTAAGTTATTGAACTAAACCCTTATTAAATATGGCAGTGTTTTTTTTTATGTGGCTGGTAGGGGAACCTCACCTAAATCCCACTCAAAACCACCCACATACACACACACACACCCGCACACCCACACAGACACAGACACAGACACAGACACAGACACAGACACAGACACAGACGACACACACACACACACACACACACACACACACACACACACACACACACACACACACACACACACACACACACACACACACACACACACACACAACAATAACTAGCCTCCAAGCATCAAGAACAGTGAAAGTGTATAGATAACTATGGTAAAAAATGGAGGTTCCCAAAATAAGTATTGCGGTTGCCAACAAGTAAATAATTGAGCATTATTTACACGGTAGCTTTACATAACTCACAAACCACAGCTAAATACAGCTATTGCTGACCTTTGTAAGTAAAGTATTAGTCTTCATAGCTCATCTGAATCTTCAACTCATGTGTCAGTCTTTCTAGTTCATCTAACTGGATCCTGAACTCATGTCTCAGTCTTCCCAACACTTCTAATTGGATCCTCAACTCACCAAGATCAGATTCTGCTAATCATAGATATAGTCAGTTCTTGTGCTGGTAATAATCCTCATAATAAATGCAGGTTTTCATAACAAAAAAATAAGGTTGATCCCTGACATTATGAGGTCGTTGAAGAGAGCAAGTAATGGATTAATTTCTAGTTGGGTTGTGCTAGGTCACATAAAAACGTGTTACACTAGCAGAGGCAGAGTTGTGAGGTCACATGTGCGGTCGTTGACGGGGGTGATCCTTATTTACAGGTTACTGGACGACAAGAGAGTTTTTGAAAGGGGTGATCCATACGTACAGGCTATTAGATGACAATATGGTCATTGACAGGGGTTATAGGCTACTAGACGACACGAGGACCGTGACAGGGGTGACCCATACAAACACACATTTGCAGCAAGATCACAACAGATTTTCGATATACAATACAACCACTGTGGAAAAACAATTAAATTCCAGTCTCTTCTGTGATCCTCCACTCACATTCTCAAGCGACCAGCAAACAACCGCTTACATCTATCTTCGAGATCACGAGAGTTCTTGGAATTCGGTTCCATTTTAAAGTGCATACGTACACAGGTGCTGGGTCACTGGAGGACGTTGCCACAATGACCCCTACGTCTGCACTCCGTCAAGACTGGTCATGACAGCCAAATGTTAAAAAAAAAAATGAAATCGAGAGTAATTCAAAACACGTTCTCTCGACACGTGATGTTCTGTGTGCAAAGTGTATAGCGTACGTCCCATACAGGGAATACAGTGTACGTCCCATACAGGAAATACAGTGTACATCCCATAGAGGACTTACAGTATACGTCCCATAGAGGATATACAATGTATGTTCCAGAGAGGATATACAGTCAACGTCCCATAGAGGATATACAGTGTACGTCCCACAGAGGATACACAGTGTACGTCCCACAGAGGATATACAGTGTACGTCCCACAGAGGATATACAGTACCTACTGTAGAGATCATGGGCACGACGCGGTCTTCATTCATAAATGGTTTCGCAAGTGTCCAATTATTTTAAAAGTGGCCGAATTTATCTTAAGTTTAATTGCCTAAGAGAAAGTGAAACCATTGGATGAGTTTATTTCTGTCTCTCTCTCTCTCTCTCTCTCAATATATATATATATATATATATATATATATATATATATATATATATATATATATATATATATATATATATATATATATATATATATATATATATATATATATATAAAGTGCGAACAATTAACAAAGTTTCACCTAACGCACGGACCAGCGGAGATCAGATAACAAAGGCTTTCCAAAGGTGCGTTTTGTGGTTCTTAAAATCATTGAAATTACGTGAGCAGCTGGTCATTTCTACATCCTGGGTGATTATAATATACTGTGTTGTATTTTATTGTGTTAGCTGTGATGTATGACCTGTAAAGTGACCCCAACGAGAGATGTAAGACGCAGGTGTTGAGACTTGACGAAAGATGGAAGATTAGTGACTTTGAGTGTTGTGTAGGTAGTGAGTGTTAGTAGGGAATTACATTCTGTTTACTGATTTAATTACATAGTTTCAGTGGTTACTGATTGTTTTGTTGTTTTATTCTTACAGGAGTGTGGGTAAACTGAGGCAGCAGGGCGCGGACAGCGGGCGTGGGGGGCGTGAATCATGCCATAGAGGGCGTGGATAGTCCGGAACACCATGCCTGAGGGTTCGAGTAGTAACTGTCACCTTTGTCACATCCACGACCACGTACCGGGATCCTCTCTGCTACGGACGCACCCCCTGCGGGTCTCCCACACGCGCTCCCGTAACCACAGCAGAAGTTCCAGCAGCGGCGAGGGACACCCACACCACTCCCACCATTCCCGGGATCACTCCCACCGCTCCCGGGACCCATCCCGCCACTCACGCGACCACTCCCGCCACTCGCGCGACCACTCCCGCCACTCGCGTGATGGCAGCTCTAGGGAGATCAGAGACATGGAGGCCAAGCAGGCCAAGGCGGCCAGCACTCTGGCCAAGCTCAGCGAGAGGTCTCACTCGCTGCCAGGGAGTCGCAGCAGCACGCTGTCGCGACCCAACGAAGTTTCCGTCCTTCCGGACGGGGACGCCCACCACCACCATCACCACCACCAACACCGCGACCGCCGCGGCTCGACGGGGTCGCGCGCAGACTACAATGGCGTGTTGGCTGCGCTACTGGAGACCCGCGCTGCCAGTCTTCCCAGGAACCACAGTGTTAACGTCCACAGGGAACCAGACCTGCTGACCGCCCTCCCTCGCACACACAACAACAGCAGGTAAAGCAGGAAACACCTCGCCTGCTGCTTCCTCAGTTTCTTTCTGCTTGTTGTTGAGAGTTTGTGACAGGTGTTGCTAGTGGCGCTGCTTGTTGCTTTGGTGATGCCTCCCTACCTGCTTTATTGCCTCGCTACCTGCTTTATTGCCTCGCTACCTGTTTTATTGCCTCCCTGCCTGCTTTATTGCCTCCCTACCTGCTTTATTGCCTCCCTACCAGCTTTATTGCCTCGCTACCTGCTTTATTGCCTTGCTACCTGCTTTATTGCCTCCCTACCAGCTTTATTGCCTCGCTACCTGCTTTATTGCCTCCCTACCAGCTTTATTGCCTCGCTACCTGCTTTATTGCCTTGCTACCTGCTTTATTGCCTCCCTACCTGCTTTATTGCCTCGCTACCTGCTTTATTGCCTCGCTACCTGCTTTATTGCCTCCCTACCTGCTTTATTGCCTCGCTACCTGCTTTATTGCCTCGCTACCTGCTTTATTGCCTCGCTACCTGCTTTATTGCCTCCTTACCTGCTTTATTGCCTCGCTACCTGCTTTATTGCATCTCTACCTGCTTTATTGCATCGCTACCTGCTTTATTGCCTCGCTACCTGCTTTATTGCATCTCTACCTGCTTTATTGCCTCCCTACCTGCTTTATTGCCTCGCTACCTGCTTTATTGCATCTCTACCTGCTTTATTGCATCGCTACCTGCTTTATTGCCTCGCTACCTGCTTTATTGCATCTCTACCTGCTTTATTGCATCGCTACCTGCTTTATTGCCTCGCTACCTGCTTTATTGCATCTCTACCTGCTTTATTGCATCGCTACCTGCTTTATTGCCTCGCTACCTGCTTTATTGCATCTCTACCTGCTTTATTGCATCGCTACCTGCTTTATTGCCTTGGTATCTACTTTATTGCCTCGCTACCTGCTTTATTGCATCGCTACCTGCTTTATTGCATCGCTACCTGCTTTATTGCATCGCTACCTGCTTTAGTGCCTCGTTCGCTGCTTTATTGCCTAACTACCTACTTTGTTGCCACACTCGTTGCTTTATTGACTGCCCGTTGCTTTGTTGATGCCTCGCTACCTGCTTTATTGTCTCGTTACCGGCTGTATTACCTCGCCAGTTGCTTTATTGCCACGCTACCGGCTTTATTGCCTCGCTACCGGCTTTATTGCCTCGCTACCGGCTTTATTGCCTCGCTACCGGCTTTATTACGCTGCTTCACTTGTGGCTTTATTACGCTGCTTCACTTGTGGCTTTATTACGCTGCTTCACCAGTGGCTTTATTACGTTGCTTCACCAGTGGCTTTATTACGTTGCTTCACCAGTGGCTTTATTACGCTGCTTCACTTGTGGCTTTATTACGCTGCTTTACTTGTGGCTTTATTACGCTGCTTTACTTGTGGCTTTATTACGCTGCTTTACTTGTGGCTTTATTACGCTGCTTTACTTGTGGCTTTATTACGCTGCTTTACTTGTGGCTTTATTACGCTGCTTTACTTGTGGCTTTATTACGCTGCTTTACTTGTGGCTTTATTACGCTGCTTTACTTGTGGCTTTATTACGCTGCTTTACTTGTGGCTTTATTACGCTGCTTCACTTGTGGCTTTATTACGCTGCTTTACTTGTGGCTTTATTACGCTGCTTCACTTGTGGCTTTATTACGTTGCTTCACTTGTGGCTTTATTACGCTGCTTCACTTGTGGCTTTATTACGCTGCTTCACTTGTGGCTTTATTACGCTGCTTCACTTGTGGCTTTATTACGCTGCTTCACTTGTGGCTTTATTACGCTGCTTCACTTGTGGCTTTATTACGCTGCTTCACTTGTGGCTTTATTACGCTGCTTCACTTGTGGCTTTATTACGCTGCTTCACCAGTGGCTTTATTACGTTGCTTCACCAGTGGCTTTATTACGTTGCTTCACCAGTGGCTTTATTACGTTGCTTCACCAGTGGCTTTATTACGTTGCTTCACCAGTGGCTTTATTACGTTGCTTCACCAGTGGCTTTATTACGTTGCTTCACCAGTGGCTTTATTACGTTGCTTCACCAGTGGCTTTATCACGTTCCATCACTCACTGCTTTACTGTGTTAGCCCAGCTGAGAGCTTGTCAGTCGTGCGGTCTGGGAACCTTCCTATCAGCGTTACTTTCAGTTTGGTGGCGTGAACGGTGCGTTGGCAGCCTCCGTTAATAACCTCTGGCTCTGTTAGATTCAGTAACTACTGTTACATCTTCTGTTTCGTTCCATTAACAGGTTCTCTTAGATCAAGATTTTTCTTCCTACGACCAAGCAGTATATATACATATATATATATATATATATATATATATATATATATATAATATATATATATATATATATATATATATATATATATATATATATATATATGTCGTGCCGAGTAGGTAAAACTGGTCAATTAGCAAGAATTCATTTAAAATTAAATACTTTCTAAAATTTTCTCTTTTACCTTTAAAGATATATCTTTTCTTTTATGTTAATGTAAAAATTCATAATTTTGTACCAAAAGAATCTTAGAAAACTTACCTAACCTTATTATAACAAGCGCAATTTAATTTAGCCTAATCCAACTAAATATATTTTAGATAAGTTTACAATAATTTAATAAACAAATACAATAAAATATATTTTTTTGTTAAGTCCAGAATGATTTTTTCGAAATTAATGCATACACAAATTTTCGCTTGCCTTATTCGGCAAGGAGAGCGTTTCTATATAAGCCAAAATATCAAGTTTTACCTGTTCGGCACTACATTATATATATAATGTATGTTGCAACATGTATTTATGCATGATGATCAAATATATTTCCTATCTTATTCTCCCTGTCATCACAGTCAGTATCTTCAACCACCAGACATGTCTCTCACTCTGTGTCAGTTGTTTTCTTTACATCATAGCCTGTATTTCTTTCTCTGTTTGTCTATCATCGCTCCTCCATCTAAATGTCTCCGTAATCTCTGTTATAAAGGTTTATATTTCTCTCGGTCTACGTAAGACCTTCTTAACTCTCTTTTATCTCTGTCCAAAAGAGCTCAGATTTCTTCCTACGTGAGATATACATCTCAAGCTGTGTGTGTGTGTGTGTGTGTGTGTGTCTCGTATCTCTCCCTGCGTATAACAGACGTCTCACTCTCTGTGTATGTGTGTCTCCCTGTAGGTCAAGCACTCTGTCACGGACCCGTGACCCTCACGGCAGCAACCTGACCCTGGCGCAGGACACGGAGCAGGACTACTACATGCATGTCCACCGTGCCAGGTACAAGGATGAGGCTCGCAAGCAGAGGTTCAACTTGCAGACCGTCATGCTCATCGGCTGCTACACCTTACTGGTGAGTACACGTCAGATGCTGCTGCTGCAGTGTGGGTGACCTCACCTGGTATGGTGAATGTAGATGATCTTGCAACAGGAGGTGTGACGTGCATGCAATATTAGGGAGTAGTGCAAGGTAACGATAGCTCCATCTGAAGCGTTTTGATTTTAAAAAGTGATCACTTGACATAAAAACAACAAACTTAAATGTATTTACTTACAAACATCACGCAACTTGAAATATTCGCTGCACATAGATGCACACACACACATATATAGAGCGACACAATGTGTATAGTGTAAGTTTGCTCCGCAACACATGTGCGAGTTGGACCTGCCTAGCATGGGCTAGCAGGCCTCTTACAGTACTGCACCCTTCCTGTGTTGGTCAATCTTGCGACCCTATATTGTAGTGGCTCGGAACCACTGAAACTTTTATTGCATCATGATCTGAATTCATCACTAAAGTAACACGATCAGGCACGTGAAGAATATGTGGCAGAACGTTTTTTGTAAAGTAACTAAAGGAGCAGAGGTATGGTCCTGGTGTGACTACAGGGGCAGAGGTATACTCCTGGTGTAAGTACAGGAGCAGAGGTATGCTCTTGGTGCAAGTACATGAGCAGAGGTATGCTCCTGGTGTAGCTACAGGAACAGAGGTATGCTCCTGGTGTCCTGTATTAGTATTCAATCCCTCATATTTGGTTTAATTTTCAGTAGTGGTATCGTTCGCTTTTTCCTCTTCTACGAGCATATTACTGCTACAGCAGCACTGTGCCTCTGGTCTTGCATGTTCGTAGTTCATATCATTCTTAATATGTCGTACCTTGAACAATTAAACACATGTGAAACAAATACCCAGTTGATGCACATGTGTCTAATTCTTCAACTTGTCGATATTATATACCATTGATGTCTGGTACCTTAGAAGTCACAATTCGTTTTGTCCCGTTGCAGTTCGTGGTGGCCATAATCGTGGGTGTGGTGCTGTGTCAGCAAAATGGATGGCTGGGCTTCGGCAGCAGCAGAGCCGAGGAGGCTACTGGTGAAGCCAATTCCCCGACCCGGAACACCAATAACCTCTCCTTAGGGCGCGACCAGGACCGGGCCACCCGTGGCAGAGGCTTCAACAGCCGTGGCAACCGGCCGGGACCTACCATAGACTACGATTACTCTGACGATGGAACCTCTTCGAACGGCAACACGGTGGGTGCTTTTCCAGGAGCAGGGGTACCCCTGCCAGGCCTCCCTCAGGGTGGTAGAGATCCTCTGAGGACAGTGAACTTCGTACCCCTGGATGAGAGTAACCCTGGGGGTAATGGCATGCCACGACGTCCCTCTATTGGCCAGGGTGGGTCTCCGGGGCCTGGACAACGCGCAAATAACGGAGTTGGAGGAGGGAGAACAGGAAGCAACGTACAAGGTAACAACATCAACTCCTTCAGCAACTCTGCCCCTGGAGTGGATAACGGAATTGGAGGAGGGAGAATAGAGAGCCCTTTACCAGGAGGTGGTAACAACGTCAACTCCTTCAGCAACTCTGCCTCCGGAGCGGATAACGGAATTGGAGCTGGAGCCGGACGTCCCTTCCCAGGTAACAACGTCAACCCCTTCCACAACGCTGGCTCTGGAGTGGATGACCTAAACTCGGTTAGGAGCGGCAAGAGTTTAGATTCCTCTCGTGATCCATCAAACACCGTGTCAGGGGGCAGCAGAGACCCCACAGGAAGGATCGTTGGTGAAGGACATTCTAATTCAATGAATCCTTTTATACCCTTAGGCGCTAACAATGCCCCTAACAACTTCAACACTGGCAGTATTCCTATCGCTAATGATCCACGTACAAGTGGTTCAAAAAATTTCCCCAACAGCCAAGGAGGATTCAGTAACGATGGTTTCAGCAACAGTCCCCCCAACACGGCCATTAACAACCAAAGAAACATTAATTCAGGTTCAAGTGTCGATTTTAGTAATGGTGGAAGCAGAATGACTTCTGGAGGCGTGGCTCCTGGAGAACTTGAGGCCGAGAGCGTGCCTAGCACTGTAGTGGGTGGCAGTCGCTCCAGGGAGAGGCTGATGAACGTCTTCGGCAGGACTGTAAACACTCCTGGTGATTCCTTCAATGGGATGACGTCGACTTCAAACGCTGCCAACGACAATTTTAACCCCGGAGTAGCAGGCAGTCAAGACACTCCAGCTGGGAACTTCAACACGGGAACTGATAGCAGAGTAAACAGCCCAGCTGGGAACTTCAACACGGGAACTGACAGCAGAGTGAACAGCCCAGCTGGGAACTTCAATACGGGAACTGGCAGCAGAGGAAATAGCCCAGCTGGGAACTTCAACACGGGAACTGACAGCAGAGTAAACAGCCCAGCTGGGAACTTCAACACGGGAACTGACAGCAGAGGAAATAGCCCAGCTGGGAACTTCAACACGGGAACTAACAGCAGAGGAAACAGCCCAGCTGGGAACTTCAATACGGGAACTGACAGCAGAGGAAACAGTCCAGCTGGAAACTTCAACACGGGATCTGACAGCAGAGGAAACAGCCCAGCTGGGAACTTTAACAGTGGACTCGGAACCCAGGCTAACTCCCCGGTGAATGTAGCTAGCATCCCCGGCGCTGCAACATCCACCAACTGGCCGGGTACCGTAAACTCCGGCGGGGCAGGTCCAGGGTCTGGAGGTGAGAGGATGGCTGCCATCGCTAATGGAAACCCCAACTCTCCAACAACAGTAAGTGTAAGTAACATTCCCAACGAAAATCTTAACCCTGGAACGGTTAGAGGTCACAGTACTCCGGGTAGGAATCTCGGCTCTGGAATCACTGGCATAAGAAATATTGCAGGTGGGAATTTCAACGCTGAAATTGACAGCAAAGGAAATATTTCAGGAAGGAATTTCAACTCTGGAACTGGAAGCAATGTTCAAGGTGGGAATTTCAACAGTGGAGGAAATATTCCAAACATGAACTTAAATTTTGGAAATAGTGGAAGCAATACTCCAGGTGGGAATTTTAACTCTGGAGATGGTAATACAGGAGGAAATACTCCAAGTATGAATTTCAACTCTGGAAATAATGGAGGTAATATACCTGGTGGAAATTTCAACACTGAAACCAACCACGGAGGAAATACTCCAGGAATTAACTCTGGAAACACTGAAGGGAATATTCCAGGAATGAATTCTGGAAATATTGGAGGGAATATTCCAGGAATTAATTCTGGAAATATTGGAGGGAATATTCCAGGAATTAATTCTGGAAATATTGGAGGTAATATTCCAGGAATGAACGTTGGAAATATTCCAGGAATGAACTCTGGAAATATTCCAGGAATGAACTCTGGAAATATTGGAGGAAATATTCCAGGAATGAACTCTGGAAATATTCCAGGAATGAATTCTGGAAATACTGGAGGGAATATTTTAGGAATGAATTCTGGAAATATTGGAGGGAATATTCCAGGAATGAATTCCGGAGATGGAGGAAATATTCCAGGAATGAAGTCTGGAAATACTCCTGGAATGAACTCTGGAAATATTGAAGGAAATACTCCAGGAATGAACTCTGGAAACATTGGAGGGAATACTCCAGGAATGACCTCTAGAAATAATGGAGGGAATACTCCAGGAATGAACTCTAGAAATAATGGAGGGAATACTCCAGGAATGAACTCTGGAACTACTGGAGGGAATACTCCAGTAATGAACTCTGGAAATATTGGAGGGAATACTCCAGGAATGAACTCTGGAACTACTGGAGGGAATACTCCAGGAATGAACTCTGGAACTACTGGAGGGAATACTCCAGGAATGAACTCTGGAAATATTGGAAGGAATACTCCAGGAATGAACTCTGGAAATACTGGAGGGAATACTCCAGGAATGAATTTAAACTCTGGAGACAGAGTGAGTGTGCCTGACAGGACATTCATTGCTGTAACTAGCAATGGAAGAATCAGGCCAGAGGGGAGTGTGCAAGGTGCAACAGGAAGCAGCGGCAGCAGCTCAGTTAATGACAATGCCGGGTTGGGCTCTAGTCTTAACCCGACAGCTGAAATCTTGAACGCTGGCCAAGGCAGCAGCACGAGCTCTGGAGCACCTGTAGATGCTGATAAGTCTGGAGCAGCCGTAGCTGTTGGGAGTCTAGATACATCCGGGAAGGACAAGGTCAACTGGGACAGCAGCGCTGTAGGTGGTACGCATACTTCAAACTGGAATAACACACCAAAGCAGTTAGAGAATCCTCCAGTGGTAACTTCCCCAAGAGCGACGCAAAATGGAAGAAATGGCGTTCGTAGCTTAGGCAATGGTAACCAGCGCATTAGGCAGAACGGAGGGAGGCAGAACGGTGCGAGGCAGAACGGTGCGAGGCAGAACGGTGTGAGACAGAACGGTATAAGGCAGAACGGCATGAGGCAAGGCAACATTAATGGACAGATCGTGGGCCCCATCACACCTGGTAATCAAGGCAACCTTCCAGCTGACACCAGCAGTTCCATAATCAGGAGCCTGGGAAGTGGAGTTCGAAGTCGTGACAGCCGACAACCTTCACTAAGAAGCCTGAGTGTCGCCACTGGTGGAAGGAATGCCAACACCCAGACGATAGGCGCAAAGACACCTGAGGGAACATCTGCAGGAGGTGCCTCGGGTGTCAACATTCAAGACAAGGTGGGCCACAACTGGGATGAAACCACTGCAGGAGGTAAACACTTGGGATCTAGAGTGGGCATAGACCTTCCACTCATCAATTCTGGAGGATTAAACTCTGCAGGCCAGAACTCTTTTGATGTCACGGTTCAGATGTTGGGGAGTACTGGAACAGTGATGCCCAGGCCAGCTGTGAGTCGGACGGGCACTGTGTTACCGGCTGGAGGCGACTTTCAGAACACCGTTACACCACATACACCTCTAAGTGAGAGCGAGAGGGGTATCACCATCATCCCTCCATCAGGAGACCAAGTGACTCCCTTGCAGGTGATGCGCGGGTTCTCAGTGCAGCGCGGAGAGGTGGTATCTCTGAGTACCATCAAATCTGACGATAAGGAGATAGCCATCTTGAGACCTGACCCCGATGTTATTTTCCACATCACTCCCAGTGCCCCGGACGCCGGGGTTGCGCTCATAAGACACCCGAGCCAGAAGCCTCCTGAAGCCCTCGCTCCCAAACACTCCAGCCAGAAGCCTCCTGAAACCCTAACGACGGGCCATCGTTCTCGTGCAACTCCTGAAGCTCTCACGTCGGGAACTCGTACTCGCGCGGATTCTGAAGCCTCGACGCCAGGACATCGTTCTCGCTCGGGATCGAGAAACAGAGATTCTCTTCGAGCGACGAGCCTCCGGAGACAGCGGGGAAGAGACTCTAAAGTGCTACGGCGGTGGGAACACATGGACGGCGAGGGGACTTTGTCTCGAGGCCTCGTCAGGAGTGACGGCTCCTTCGCCTTTACCAACTGCCGTCCCCCGGAGGTGTGTGGCCTGGACGACGGCTGAAGGAATCTCTTTGCTGTGTTCGCACGCAACACGGGCAAATCTTAACGAATGCAACGACAAGTGTGATAGTATAATGCTTTTAGCATCAACAGTGTTAAATATGTGTGATATTTTTATGTCAAATCAGTGCAGTTGAAATGATGAATGCAAACCTGTGCTAAAATGATGCTTGTTGCAAAGGTGCATCGAGGAAAAGGTACCGTGTTTTAAATATGCAACGCTGACTGGTACCACCCGATGGCAGGTACACCTAACAAGTCAATTTAGAAACAACTTGAAACTAAGTTCCTGGTCCAGAGAACTTTAGTCTGACTTGCCTTGACTCTAGCCATCCAGATATAACAATATGAGTTTTTTTCTTCAAAACAAAGTGTCAATAAAATGACCTGCAGAATTAAGAGTTATTTTTCTAATCTTGAACAATGTATTTTGTGCCCACGAAAATGAAAGACACAAACAGCCAATGACAAGGCTTGTTTTACAGGTGTGGGGAAACATTTTTCATGAGTGGGGAAACGTTTAGCAGATGTGGGGGACATTCGACATGTGTGGGAGAACGTTTTGCACGTGTGGGGGGGGATGGGGCAGATTTGAGGACCAGATGAAACACGATCAGTACATGTATGCGGGCCAGGTGATGTGGGAGCACAGGTGTGGGGCTCAGGTGCGACGCTCGCAGGTGTGGTGCTCAGGTGTGTGTTACTTGCACCTGTGTGGGGGTAAGTATATTAGAAAAAAGAGAGTTGCAGATGTGATAACTGATATATGTGCCATGACTACACTCCAGAACACAGGCTGTGTATCACCGTCAGTCAGCTCCCAGTATTACTAGCCCCTAAGACACTCACACACATTTAAATACCTTTCATCTCTCATCCATGTATTAACACTCGAAGATACAGGCTTTCAGAGATACATATAGTTGCATTTATATACTTCTAATACATATGTAGCTTCTCATCACATAGGAATCACTCAAAAACTATATTTAAAAAAAGGGTTAAAAAATCAAACTGTGATTATTTCAAAGCCAACACTGGCTGGAGAAGGGCTTTTGATCCAAGGAATTGAAGATACCCTCCCATTCCTTGTATTAAAATTAATTGGGATATATTTGTTAGGCGATGAGTTATATTTTTGGGTGGAAACCAAAGTAGTGATCCCAGAGTAGATCCCAGATGCGATCCCAAGTGGCATCAAGAGTGGTGACCCAGGAGTATGATCCAGTGGCGATCCCAGAGTAGTATTCCAGAGTGCGATCCAGGTGGCGATCCAAGAGTGGTGGATCCCAGAGTAGTGATCCCAGAGTGGCGATCCCAATGCGATCAAGAGTGTGATCCCAGAGTGGTGATCCGAGAGTGGATCGGGAGTGGGGATCCCGGAGTGGGGATCCCAGAGTGGTGATCCCAGAGTGGCGATCCAAGAGTGGTGATCCCAGAGTGGTGATCCGAGAGTGGGGATCCCGGAGTGGGGATCCCAGAGTGGGGATCCCAGCGTGGTGATCCCAGAGTGGGGATCCCGGAGTTGGGATCGAAACGTCACTGTATTTAGTGAGTATTAACAAGATCTTTGGTTTCTGAGTACTTTACAAACATGACAATACAACAACACTATTTCTAACATCTTCATGGGTCAACGTTTCGCGCTGTGTAAACCTTGATCCAGTCATGAGTTGACCAAGCTTCACAAGGAGCGAAACGTTGTGCCCCAGTGAAAACGTGTTCTACGACGTCTTCATGTCTCTGTTCTTGTAATACTCATTACATTTATATATATATATATAATATATATATATATATATATATATATATAAATATATATATATATATATATATAACGTGAGGTAAGCACCTGGTGATCATTGTGTTATGTAATGGTGACTGGGAAGAGGAAGGGGGGTGAGTATGTAGTTTGTTGTTTGTTATGGTGAGTGAGAGTGTCAGCTGATATAAAGAACCCTCAATAAACTAGTCTAAAATCATGAGTATTTTCTCTCTCCTCATCCACCCCATCCAACAGCCATCCTCATCCAACAGCCACCTCATCCAACAGCCACCTCATCCACAGCCACTCATCCAGCCCACCTCATCCAACAGCCACCTCATCCAGCAGCCACCTCATCCAACAGCCACCTCATCCAACAGCCACCTCATCCAACAGCCACCTCATCCAACAGCCACCTCATCCAACAGCCACCTCATCCAGCAGCCACCTCATCCAACAGCCACCTCATCCAGCAGCCACCTCATCCAACATCCACCTCATCCAACATCCACACATCCAACATCATCACCACATCCACCATCATCCAACATCCACCTCATCCAGACATCCACATCATCCAACATCCACATCATCCACATCCACCTCATCCAACAGCCACCTCATCCAGCCATCTCATCCACATCACCTCACCCAACAGTCACATCACCCAACATCGACATCATCCAACTCCACCTATCCAAACCCATTCATCTAACATCACCTCATCCAACATCCACCCATCCAAGTCACCTACAACTCCACTCATCCAACACCACATCATCCAACATCCACATATCCAACATCACATCACCCAAACCAACACAACCCACCTCATCCAACAGCCCCTCATCCAACGCCATCTCACCCCAACAGTCCCTTTTCCCAACAGTCATACCCAACAGTCACCTCATCCAACAGTCCCCCTCATCCAACACCCACTCATCCAACACCCCAATCATCCAACACCCCAACTCCAACTCCACATATCCAACATTCAATATCCAACATCCACATCTCCAAATCCACATCACCCCAACATCCACATCACCCAAATTCACTCACCCAACTCCACAATCCAACACCCCCACCTACCAACACCCATCATAAACACCCCAATACCAAACCCCAAATCACCCAAACCCAACATCAAAAACCACATCATCCAACTTCCCATCATCCAACATTCACATCACCAAAACATTCACATCATCCAACTCCAAACATCCAACATCCCCATCATCCAACACCACCTCATCCAACATTCACATTCCAACATCCACATCACCAACATCCACATCATCCAACTCCAATCATCCAACATTCATCACCCAAAACCCCCACATCATCCAACATCCACACACCCAACATCCACATATCCAACTTTTCACTCATCCAAACTCCAAAACATCCAAACATCCAATCATCCAACTCCAATCACCCAAATCCACATCTCCAACATCCCCCTCATCTTCCCACACATAAAACACAATTTAGAATAAATCAAAATATAGGAAACAAACTACGCAAAAAGCCTCTTGGCCCAAAGGGAATGGGCTACTCTCCTCTTCCCAAATCGCACGATTTGTCCGATTCCCCACAGCTGTATACTTACGGGTTTAGCGCTTCCCCCTGAAAATAATAATAAAATAATATCCCCAAAAAAAAAGCCCCCTTTCCTAGAATTATACAATACGTTAATATATAATATATATATTATTATTTTTAAAATAATATATTATATATAATATATATATATATAATAATATATATAAATAAATTATATAACACGTACTTGCGCGCGCGTCACACCCAAACCTTAGAATAGCGTTCCGGGGGCCTCGTAAGGAACGTTCAAGACTTTTTTAAAACTGTGAGGTTAGGCCCCCCTGGAGTACGCAGCACCGTTTGGAACCCACACCTGGGCAAACATCAAGAAATTAGGGGAAAATGCAAAGGGGTTTCAACAAGGCTAGTTCCCGAGCTAAGGGGGAAGTCCCTTTTAAAAAAAGGTTAAGGGAAATCGGTCTGACGCACTGGAGGAAGGAGGGCAGGGGAGACATGAAACGAATCAAAAAACTGCGTGGAGAGAAAGGGGGGACAAGACAGGGGTGTTCCAAAAGGGAACAGAAACAAGGGGTCAAATTGGAAGCTGAAAATCAGATGATTTAAAAAGGGTGTTAGGAAGTATTTCTTTGGTCATAGAGTTCTAGGAAGGGAATAGCTGGCAAGCGATGTTCGAGGCAGGAACTTACAAAGTTTAAGACGATGTATATAAAACCCTGGGAAAGGGAGGGAGGAAATAATGGTAAAAAATACCACACAAGGCAAATAAACACCCAAAAGCAGTATAATGTGATCCTTTTTGGCACGTTTCGCCCACACAGTGGGGTTTTTCAAGTCACAAACAAACGTGTGTGATGAAAGGTTTGAAAAACCGACAAGTTAAAATTGAGACACTTTTGCAGCATAGGAAACTTTTTTCAGGGAAAAAGTTTCGCCACCGTGGCTTCATCAGTCCAATACAAAGAGAAGGCGTAAGGGGAGGAAAGGGGGAAAGAGGTAACGTCCCCCCAACCTGGAGTCGATGTGTTGTCCATCAACTTTTAAATGAAAAGCAAGGGCCGTAGATGGTTATTCTTGTGGGGACGTGAAGCAGATGGAGGCGGGGTCATAGTGGTACCATCCACTAGTCGAAGTAGGTCTTCGTCCAAAGGTTGAACAAGTGTTGAAGAATTCTTTGTAACAAGATCCCATGATGCTGCAGTGTCCGACATTGTGATGAATGGTTTTGAAAAAACCGACAAGTTGAAGATTGAGACACTTATGCAGCATATGGAAATCTTTATTCAGGAAACGTTTCGCCACACAGTGGCTTCATCAGTCCAATACAAAGAGGAAGCGTAAGGAGAGGAGGAGAATGAGGTAATCAGTCCTCAACCTGGAGTCGATGTGTTCAGTCCATCAATCTTGTAGAATGTACAGCATAGGGCCGTAGACGTGGCTTATATACTGTAGTGAGGTGACGTGAAGCAGATGGAGGCGGGGTCATAGTGGTACCATCCACTAGTCGAAGTAGGTCTTCGTCCAAAGGTTGAACAAGTGTTGAAGAACTCTTTGTAACAAGATCCCATGATGCTGCAGTGTCCGACAGTTGTGATGAATGGTTTGAAAAAACCGACAAGTTGAAGATTGAGACACTTATGCAGCATATGGGAATCTTTATTCAGGAAACGTTTCGCCACACAGTGGCTCATCAGTCCAATACAAAGAGGAAGGCGTAAGGAGAGGAGGAGAATGAGGTAATCAGTCCCTCAACCTGGAGTCGATGTGTTCAGTCCATCAATCTTGTAGAATGTACAGCATAGGGCCGTAGACGTGGCTTATATACTGTAGTGAGGTGACGTGAAGCAGATGGAGGCGGGGTCATAGTGGTACCATCCACTAGTCGAAGTAGGTCTTCGTCCAAAGGTTGAACAAGTGTTGAAGAACTCGTTGTAACAAGATCCCATGATGCTGCAGTGTCCGACAGTTGTGATGAATGGTTTGAAAAACCGACAAGTTGAAGATTGAGACACTTATGCAGCATATGGAAATCTTTATTCAGGAAACGTTTCGCCACACAGTGGCTTCATCAGTCCAATACAAAGAGGAAGGCGTAAGGAGAGGAGGA